ATTGGTGCTCGTAGATGCGTGTGGAGACGGATCTTCCTGTTTGGCCACAATAAACCGTATCACAGTCTTCGCATGGGATTTTGTAGATGACTTCTTTCTTATCAAGGTAGCCAACTCTATCAATAGGATGTACTAGCTGGGTGCATAAAGTGGCCATCGGTTTTTGCACCACTTTTAGCTGGTTTTTCCGCAAGTCCCTTTCAACGAGTTCAGACACGTTCCTTATATAAGGAAGGATTCGCCATGTGTTAGTTTTGGGCGCCTGAGTGGTTCCTTTTTGTTGAGTTTTTATTGTCTCATGAATCGGCGTACAAAGTCTCTGGGGTAACCATTGCGGGGGATTAAGGGCCAGAGCTACAGGTTCACAGTTGGTGTTTTAATTAACTCTGGAACGGAAGGTAAGGGATAGAGTAAGCGTTTTAAGGTTAGTTTTAGGGGTTTAATGTTTTAATTTTAGTGTTATATGTACTGTTTTGAGATTTGGGTTAGAATTATTGACGTAAGGTAAAGGTTAGCATCTTTCATTGAGGATCAGGACTAGGGTTTTAAGGAGAGGGTTATACCCCTGTACCAAACTGTTTCGGAGTTCACATTTTCTTGGCATTAACCGATGTTTGTGTGGGAACTCTTAAGGTCCGAGTTACAGAATTCCGGGGTTGTTTCCTGTGATTCCTTAGCAGATAATTTTACCAAGCAGCTTTTCCAGATTGCTTCTTCTAAAGCTCGTCAGGTCGCGGAGACTGCATTTTTTAAGCCTAGAACTTGTAAATTCCAAAACCGCTTAGCTGCGATCTACTCATATGACGTTGAAGTTTAAACACGGTTGGCAGCAGCGCTATTATTAGTTGTTCGCAAATTCAAGCTATTCGCAGCTTTCGACATCAGTTCGAGTTTCCTCTTCCACAGAGTAAACTTTCATCGCCCACCTTAGTAGATACTCAAAAAGAGGCCAGAATGGACCACATTAAAAGACATGAGAAATCCATCTTGTCATGTTCGCGCAACCTATGAAGGTTTTGCTGTGGGGTAGGTCAGTCGCGCTATCGTCACTTTTACTTGCCTGTCAACAACATCCAGGTAGATTTGCAAACCGCTCAGACCGGTCATTTCCATCTGGGCCAGCTGCTTTCTCACGTTGCTGATTGCCGGTCGCAGACTGGGAAGCAGCCTTGTGCAGGCTGAAAATGCTCCAGTGACCTAAAACGCACAAAGAGTCAAGTATAACTCGATGGTTAGACCATTGGAGTTCCAAGCAACAGGTCATAGGTTCGCGCCTTGGTTGGTGTACAATCTGGGGCCGGGCACTAGGGGGCTGAGGACGGCTAATCAGATAGATGCCTATCATGTTCACCTGCCTATAACAACAACCACTATGGAGCTGCTGGCGGAAGTCGAGGCGGTTATCAAGACCTAGACGAACGTTTCGGTCCTGATAGCAGTGAGCGTCACATGTAATTAACGCCCCCATCGAGGTAGATAAAGTACTAAGACTACTTGGCCACAGAGACACCGAAGAAATGGTGCAAGTGAGCAAGCTAGCGGCTGTAAGTATGCTCAAGAAAAGACCCTCGACTTTTTTATCTATTCAACCAGAAATGACCATTCCAGTCTCCCTTGTCTTTGTCGGCAATACTATCTGCCTAAGACTAGTACTCGCTAAGGCTGCTGCCAGGGACCGCGAAAGGAAGCCCAAGGCAGAGCGAGACAAGGGAGTTCCATTAGCGGTCGGTGAACGTTTATCGACAAGTGTCAACCTCTGCAACCATCAAAATAAAACAAAAACCGTTTCATATCGGTCGAAAAACTATCCCGAGTGCATGGCCATTTCTGAGAAACTTCGTTCCGAAATACACTCACACAAAGCAATGTCCAACACCAAGAGTTCGCTTGGTGAGTACATTGTTGCATCTTAATACCCACAACAAACTATAGAGAGTACGGAACGCGCTGACCTCAGTGGATATGCCTGTAGGCAAACCGCCCGGCCTTTTCATATGACAATATTAGTAGTTCATAGGGTGGGCACCATTACAGATAAGGCCGGTCATATATTGGCGAAATCACCGATGTTGGCGCACCCTCGAAGGGCACAGTGGTAGTCGGTAGTTAGTCTCCCCCTCAGTGCACGATGAGCTATTCGCACCGCTTTGCGGAACTTTCCTAACTTTCACAAACAAGTGTTACTCAAACGTAGTTAGTAATACTATAAGAACACAATAGGTTTTCACCTGTGGTAAGACTACAGAGGTCGGCTGCCGTTAGAGGGAGCATTGCTATGGCTTCCTCATAAAAACTTCAACGAATGCAGACATAACTACATCTAGGGGCAGAGCATTCCAAACTTCGACCACTCTATTACATAAGAAGAACGTTTGTGTGTCCGGCACCTACTCTGTCAAGCTTAGCTGAATCAAAAAACTGGAAAGTGAACATAACGTTGGTCGATTCATAGAGTAGTACGCTTCTGCCTTCGGAGCAGACTTCTTTTTCCTCCAAAGCAGAAATTAGCTACAGCTTAAAGTACAGGATTGTATCTGTGATAAAAACTTGCGGTCTGCATAACATTGAATCCATATTGACAGATAGACTGCCTGCTATGCCGTCTTAACTGATTGTTAGGCAGGACTAAAATTTGTCAAGTGTGTGTTGTGACGCTGTAAAAGTTTGGGACAGCACAGAGAGCGATTAGGTAGTGGAATGCGTTAATCTGGCTACACAGTTTCCGCACAAGCCCATAACGACTGATGCACACGGAGGAGACATGCAGGGGCATTGGTATTCACGTCGCATCAACCACTGTGGCCAAACCCAGCACCAGGTGTATGACATTCTCGGATGACAGACCGGTGAGAGGGAGGCGAATAGAAATGCAGGTCGACTCCGGGGGATCCATCCTCACTGCACATCAGGTCGATGACTATAATGTGTTGAGTTTGTGCATGAGAGGGGGAATCTGCTCTGGGCCCGGTGTTCTGTCTACAAAGAGTGATCATTTACTACTCATTGCATG